CATTGTTACTTATGGAAAAAAAAAAAAAAAAAAACGCAGAAAATAAATATAATCAACTAGACAACTTGATGCTTAGGATTAATTGTCTTTAGGTTATAATTGTCTGTTTAAAATGTATTATTTAATTATTGTAACATTACCTGTACTCACAATTATCGAAAAAAAAGTGCTTGGATGATAAAAAAGAAAAAACAAAAAACAAATCAGATCATGTATCAAATATCATACATCATAGATTATGATCATTATTAAGATATAGTGCAACTCCATCTGGTGATGGGAAGAAAAGGTATAAATTTTGAGTACTTGGTGTGTGTGTGGGTTTACTGCTTAGGTAAGGGATGAAATTAGTAAGGGTAGGTATCTTTCGAGTTTCGGGTTTCGGCCCCTAATAAATATACGTGTATAGTTAAAGCTATCTTAATGTCGGTATATACAGTGTTTACAGTTTTTATCTCATCCCTCATCGTGCATCATCGCGTCTCATCAACGATCAAGTATAAGTATATATTTTGTACTCTTAACGCTTGCGTGTTTTTTTCATATACATCACGACTGCTCCCCGCAGGCGGCAGGCTGCTCTCTCGTGCTCTGATGTCTGCAGTCGGACAGTGACCTGATGTGTAATAGGATTTACTCTCCATCAGCGTAATGATGGACCGCTTTTCAAGGGTTGAATTAATCTTCTGGTTGGTGACAATTTATACAAATTTTGTTAACAATATTAATAAATCATTGCCTTGTGTGACGACTTTTACGGAGCATCAGCTACAAAAGTAACAGCAGTCGCAAATATATAACAATAATAATAATTATTGAAAGAGCTAAAGAAAGCGTTGTTTAAGAGTGCGAAGCCTGCTGAATGCAACCCACCAAGCGCAGAGTAAAAACGCCGACTTACCCTTGTTTATACGTATTATGTATTTTTGTTGTCTCAAGGTACAAATCAAAGTGTTATTGAGAATTACTTAAAGGTTTGTGAGTCCTATATACTCAAGGGTCATCGACATTTTTGCACATACATTTTTTTGGAAGTAAAAAATATATAGAATACTGATACGTACCAATACCAAGCTCCTTTTCGAGTACTTGTACACTTATACTTTGTTCCAGGAATCTCAATTATTCGTCAAAATATCAAAAAGTGCATCGATGTGTGACAGAGGTCGGTCAATAAGTATAATCGTGATGTGATATATCGAAACCAAAGACCAAGGTGGCGTTTAAAGAGGGCGGCGGCGGTAGCGTCGGCAGAGTGCAGTGGTGGTGGTGTGTGTTGTATAGTTTGTAGTAGCAATAGCAAGGCACTAAGGCACGCTTATTTCTCTCTCTCCACTACTTAGTCGGGCGGTGAAAATTGATCAATTTAGACAAGAATACAAAATTGCAAGATTGATATAAATGTTTTGGGACGCCTCTATTGCTGCGATACTTACTCGACGGCCAATACCGCTCGTACCTCACGCGTGGACGATATTAAATTTATCCATGACTGTTTCTCTCCTTGTGTTGCTGTTGTTGTTGTTGTTACCGTTGCTGGATTCATTGAACAAGCCCTGTAATAAATTCGACCAAGAATAAGACAAAACGTGCTGCTTCTGCTGCTTGATTTGAAATATTTCATCCCAAGCATCCTGCATCCAACATTGACAGCATGACGAGTTGGGCCACTGTCGTCGTCTTTCTTGGCATCTCCAGCCTATTGTTTGGAATGCCATTATCCATTTACGGGGAAATTGACAACAGTAGTAAGTATTCACGACCATTTTACACAAGAACATTTACAATTTACAAATTTACCTTTCAATTGTCTTACGCATAGAATCAACGACTACCTTGGGCTCTCGAGCTGCTATAGATGATATAGAAATATCAGTTTCCCAAGATCCGAAAGCAATCGAGGCTGGTAGTACACCACATCTCGTTTGCAAGACCCTCGAATCAGCGTCATTTATTTGGTGGAGCTCGGTTGATAAAAATTTAACTTCTGTCAAGGAGTCAGATTTCGTTCAAAGACTCGATTTGAAACAAGTAACGAGACTTGACACTGGCAACTACACTTGCAAAGCTTTAATTTCAAGCAAACTTGTTGAAAAAACCGTACATGTCCGAGTCATAGGTACGACGGGATTTTGTAATTGAATTTCTTGAAAATTTAATTCTGTATTTGATTAGCATGCACTACAATATTATTATGATTATAATTATTAATTTTTTTTTTCAGATTCAGCTAAAATAACCCCTAGCGAGAATACAAGCATCAAGGCTTTGGAAGCTGTAAACTTGACTTGCCACATTTATGGCGAACCACTTTCAAATTTCAGTTGGTCCAAGAGCAATGAATCGGACAATTTACAACGTTTGAAGAATATGACAAGCTGGTCGCAAGCCAACGAGACCCACGTTATATTAATACTTTCCATAAAAAGTGCTACCCGTAAAGATAATGGTACTTATACTTGTAAGGCTTCCGATTATTATGGCACAGTTACAGCTGAAAGGCATTTATTCGTCGTCGATGTGCCTCTGATAAGCATCGACTTTTTAAAGTCTGTTGGTGCTGGAAGTATATTTTTGAATTGGACAGTCAATAATGGCAACGAACCAATACAAACTTATTTCATCCAGTATATGAAAAATGGAACAGATTCCTGGCAGTATAACACCGATCTGATCAATGGAGTAAATTCGAGCTTTGTTTTGAAAGGGTTGGACAAAGGTGCCGCTTATCAAATTGGTATAAGTGCAAAAAATAAAATTGGCAGATCACACGTACAGATTGATCCAAGATGGATTACCACGCTCGACAAAGGTATTGTCTCGATATTCAAACATGTTTTCAACACTTCAACCATCAACTTATGCGTCAACTTTTTCAGATCCCATTTTTATACCAAAATTAAACATCAATGGCATGACATCCAGCACAGCAACGATATCCTGAAACCATCCACCACTCAATCTCCACAAACAGATTCATTATTATATTATAGTTGCTAGCCACGAGGACCAAATGAGAGAATCCGTCGTTCCAATCCAACAAAATCATTTGTATTTATTTGAATATTTAGAACCCGCAACTACTTACAAGTTTAAGATATCTGCATGCAGCGAATATACGCGTAAATGTGGCAACTGGAGTAGGCAAGTCGAGGCGGAGACGTTGGATGGAGGTAATGAAAAAAATGCATACTTTGCAAATGCAAACTTTGATATAATTATATACTGTGATATTCAAAATTGAATAAAAATTTTTTCATCAACACAATTATATTAAATCAAATTTGTTGATTTTTAGTACCAAGTGCTCCTCAAAATATGTCAGTCTCGTGTCGTTTCGACAATATCAGCAGAACGAGTCTCATGTCGATTCATTGGGAACCGCCGCAAAAGCGTAATAGTATAATTTTGCAGTACAAAATTGAAATAAACGGTAAAGCAAGTTACAAAGACGCGGACGGACGTGTGAAAACACAAGAGTTGAGGCCGTACGTGGATCACGTTGATTTTCAGTACAATACTTTTCGAAAGAATCAATTGCCACCAAATACAAATTACACGGTAATAATAATAATAATTTAACGCTAATGACCTTGTTGTTTATACTTTTGTGACACTTGATTATTTATTTCTAGATTCGTGTTTCTTGTCAATCAAGACAAAGATTTTACGGGGAAGAGGCTGTGGCCAATTGTACGATGCCTGTCACATTGCCGGAACGTGATACATTAAATTCCCGATCTTGGTATAAAGTTGAAAATCAAGGAAGACAGCTATTCAAAGTCTACATACCACGAATTTCCGAAAGAAATGGGCCCATTTGTTGCTACAGAATTTTTCTCGTTAAACTGGCGCCTCATAAAACTCTGGCCGATTTGCCTCCACCCGAAGAAATGTCCATTTTTTCTTATCAGTACGTCCACGTCTCGCAGCTAGGAGGAGCATATCTTGCAGAAATGTTTGATAGCGAGCAGTTGCCCTCCGAAGTATTTTTAGGCGATGAGGAAACTCATAATTCTACATCATCTTGTCAACAATGCATCGGATTAAAGCAAAAATTCATTCCAACATTGTTGGATTTTGTGTCAGAGGTAAAAATTTTGACTAAATACTACTCGTTTTTATTATTCAAACTCATCATTTTTTTCATCAACACAATCATCATCGATAAACAGAGCAGCACAGTGTCAACCGTTGCAATGACAACTGAAAGTAATGGCATTGTGACAACAAAGAAGAATCAGTCAAAACTGATGCACGAAATCGACACGTTTGGCAACGATTCGACTTTGATGACAACTTTGCCATCGTTCAGTCAGACGGAAAGTACTTTAAGGAAAAAAAGGGAAAATGTAGCTAGAAAAAATTATAAAAGTACCAAAATTTTACCGTTTGATGGTGCTTTGGATGATAAAGCAAATTATACAGCTTTTATCGAAGTAATAGGTAATCTCGATGCTTATTTGCAAATAATTTCCACGCTCACGTGGTACTTGTGATTAAACAAAAGTGTTATCTTTACATGCAGTGTATGGAGCAGAGGGAACAGGACAGTTGTTGGCTGCCTACAGTAGCTATTTGCAGCCAATATACGGGGGCGTGGATCCAAAATTAGTAACGGTCCAAGGTTTAACGATGCTGAGCGTCATTTTGCAAATATCACTCGTTCTTATTGTAATAATAATCGTTGTACTGATAACTTTGTGCGTGTTGCACCGTTACTCGAAACGGGCGCGTCAGCACGGTGAAGAAATCATAACTTTGCGCAACAGCTTTCGGTGAGTTTAAATTTATAGTTTGTAGATTTGATTTTCCAAAGAATATATTTAACCGTTTGCTGTTCAATCAGACATCTCTGTCAAAGCCTGAGGGGTCGCCACCAACTTGTCGCAGCTACTCCACCAGACATGCCACCCGTATCGAAAAACGAGCTCATGCAAGCCTACTTGGAGCGTCATAGAGACTCGGACTATGGCTTTCAGCACGAGTTTGAATTATTACCCGATAGATTCAGCGATCGAACGACAAGAGCCTCGGAGGCTCGGGAAAATATTTATAAAAATCGTTATCCCGATATCAAATGTTATGATCAGACGCGCGTCAGACTCGCCCAAATAGATGGCATCTCCGGCTCAGACTACATCAACGCAAACTTTGTGTTGGGCTACAAGGAGAGAAAAAAGTTTATATGTGCGCAGGGCCCAATGGAGAACACAGTCAACGATTACTGGCGCATGATTTGGGAGCAGCATCTCGAGCTCGTGCTCATGCTCACCAACTTGGAAGAATACTCAAAGACCAAGTGCGCCAAGTATTGGCCAGATAAAACGGAAACAAAGAATTTTGCCGACATTACCGTGGAACATGTGGCCGAGCATCAGTATTCCGATTACGTAGTGCGAGAATTGAAAATGACACGGGATGGCGAACGAGACAGGCGCAAGATCGTTCAGTATCACTTTCTCGTGTGGAAGGACTTTATGGCACCAGAACACCCGCACGCGATTCTCAGGTTTATCAAGCGTGTCAACGAAGCCTATTCACTGGAAAAGGGTCCCATTCTCGTGCATTGCAGCGCTGGCGTAGGCAGAACCGGCACTCTCGTTGCCCTTGACTCTCTCATGCAGCAGTTGACCGAGGAGGGACAAGTTTCTATATTCAATACCGTTTGCGATCTCAGGCATCAAAGAAACTTTTTGGTACAATCTCTCAAACAGTACATCTTCATCTATCGTGCCCTTATGGAAATGAGCCAGTACGGCGATACGGAAATTGCCGCGTCTCAGCTCAAGGCCAGTCTCGAAAAACTTCGTCAAAGGGAAAACGGCAAGGAAAAATGCCGTATACAAGAGGAGTTTGACGTAATTAATACACACACACACACACACACACACACACACACACACACACACATATATATTATTTTATTACTTTTTCATTATCTTTTTTTTCTTTTTCTTTTTCTGTTGTAGAAAATCAATGCAGTTTTAGAGGATCGCAAGTCTTATTCCGTTGGAGGTGCAGAGGAAAATCGCAATAAAAACAAGAGCGAATCCATCATTCCTTATGATAGAAATAGGGTTATTTTGACACCTATACCCGGAAAGGAGCATTCAACGTACATAAATGCCTCTTTCGTCGAAGGCTATGACAATTCGGAATCTTTCATCATCACTCAAGATCCCTTGGAATCTACGATATCAGATTTTTGGCGTATGATATCGGAACAATGTATATCAACGATAGTTATGTTATCCGACGTGAGTACAACAATAATATTAACAATTTCCTTCATTACTTTAATGCATGACTCCACACATCATCATCATCATCGACTCCACAGCTCGCCGAAGGACCGCGAAAATGTCCACGTTATTGGCCAGACGATCAAGTTTCGTACGATCACATTCACGTGCGTTACTTACAAAGTGAAAGTTGTCCGTATTTTACGCGTCGCGAATTGTGTGTATCCAACACAAAGGTCGACGAGAATGTAATCGTAACACAATACCAGTATCATGGTTGGCCCACGGTCGAAGGTGAAGTGCCGGAAGTAACGAGAGGTCTCATTGAACTCATCGATCAGACGCAGATTAATAACACGGAATCTAGTGGACCCCTCGTCGTACATTGCAATCACGGCTCTGACCGAAGTTCCATGTTTGTCGCACTAAGTATCCTCATCCAACAGTTGCGAATCGAAAAAAGAATCGACATTTTTACAACTGTTAAGAAATTGCGCTCCCAACGCCACGGAATGATTAGCACTTTTGTAATTATTAAATTTTAACAAATTATCTAAAATTTTGTTGGTCTCGCACATTCATGCATATTATTCCTTTTCAGGCTCAGTACGAATTTTTGTATCGAGGAATCGTCAATTATTCAGATTTGCATAATCTTGGCGGAGAGAACGAACCCGAGTCTACGAACGAATAATTAAAGTCATTTTTAACGATTTGAACCAAACGTTTATCGTAATGGTGTACGTACAATAATGCTTAAGTAGGCTCGCCTTTCAAAAGCGTCGAGGTGTTTATTAACGATTTTTGATAAACATATATTCAAAGAAATCCATCATCATCATTATCATCATCATCATCATCATCATCATCATCATCATCATCATCATCATCATCATCATCGACGAGTATAATTGAAAAGCAATTTCAACCTGGCCAGCAACGTACGTTTTTGAGCCAAAATATTTACAATTACATTGTACGAAAGTGCTCAAATATTTCAGAAATGTCTGATTTCATTGTTTTATACACATTATTTTCATACACGACGCTCGGAAATATAATTAAATGTAACGACTATATCATACAAAAATATGTAATCTAAAACTATTTAGAGTCACTTAATTATTCGTCGTATGTATAGAGTACCATTAAAATTAACAAGCAATCATTATTGCCAAATCTTTGAAATGGTAACAAGTTAGTTAAACTTTTTTATACTCGTTTTTATAAAATTGTAAGATATACTTGCGTTAAGGTATAAAAAGTCATTTGAGACTGAAAATTTCTCATAATGGTAGAGCTGACATTTTTTTTAACGATATTGTACAAATAATAACTCGCGCATTATTCATAAAATATTATTTTTCTAGTCAAATTCCACTCGGAAATAAATGTGATTTTTCTACCGGAAGATCTAAAAATTTGATCAAATTGCAGCCAAAAATGCACAACCAACTGTAAATTGATAATATTTCGGGTCGACACAACGACCAGTGCGTGCGTGCGTGCGTACATACGAGCAACTTGTACTTTTTTCATGCGCATACCTTATACTGTAGTGGTATTTTACGCAATTCATATGCATAGCTGGCATGGAGCTTGCATATGTAAAAATACGCCTTGTTTTCATATACTTGCAAACACGCTGATCATACGTATGTTGTCGTCACAAAGTTTTTAAAATTATTTTGTGCCATCATCAAGCTGTATGTCTCATGATAATCGTAATTATCGAATGAGATACGAAACAGGATAATTATATATTGTAAATAAACATTTATACATGCCTACATGTGCAGTAACAGTGAAAAAGAGAAAAATCTTGAAATCTTTATCCAATAAAGTTAGAAAATTTGCGCATAAGGAAAAAGCGTTTATTTATTTTATTCCAAATTTATTGTTACTAATCAAACACTTTGTAATAGTCGATAGCATCAATGATGAAACTTGACAAATGCGTCAACTCGCTTTGAAAAACGGTCCGAGAAGTGGCAGCAAGTGAAATATTATTCATGGGAAGGAGAAATTGTGGGTAAAAATACAAGGCAGTTATAAAAAAAAGGGCCATTCCTAAAATACTGCTCAAGCCAACAAATATCGGATTCATGGCATTTATTTTGTTTTTATTTTCCGATACTGCTGAGTTACGTTTTGAATCGTGCTGTAAAATAAAAATGATTCAAATTTCGATGACATGAAAATGCTTTGATGTATTTTAATTGCCATACCGCTGTTTCAAAGCCATATTGCTTGGCCAATTCATGATGAAAAGTTTCGAGCGGATAAAAGTAATATGCGTACGAGGATTCTACGGGTAGACGTACTGGCTCGATGGTATTTTGAAAATCCTCTGGAAACGCATTTTCAAGCGTTTGCGCACTCAATTTATCCAAAAGATGATTATATTTTACCAGGGTGCCCCGTTCCACGGCTTTTTTATACATTGTGGCCAGCTCGGCTGGAAAAAAGCCCAAAGTCGTCGAAGTTTGCAAAATTTTTTCCTTTTTCGGGCAGTTTGAAGCGTCCAACAGATTTGGTAGTTCCTTAAAAAAAAAAAAAAAGTAACAGTTTTCGTTTTATCGATAATATTAACACTTACAAGTGATGAGAACCTTGTTCTTGAAAGGCACGTAATGATGATTAAATCGGTCCAACATTGGTTGATTCTTGGTTCGATAATCAGAAGTTATCGATTGCATCAACGACGATGACCCATGAGCTGTGCTTATTCCATTCATCAGTTGTAGCTCATTTGCAACATTGCGCAAATATACGTCACCTGCTTCTTCGAATGCTTGCGACGTAACAAAAAGCCGAGCTACAAAAATAGCCAAATTCACGTAAAATCCGTACACTAGTCCTTTTTTACACACAGATTTACCACCACGACCCGTCATCACTACATTCGTAAAAAAATAAAACTAAAAATAAAAAAAAGCGTACACACGAGATGGATAAAAAAGATGGATTTTCTAAACAATAAACAACACTGAAAAATAACGTTTCCGTGACAAAAGTTTCTGTTGTAACGTTATCGCAAAAATGTACATGTTGCTATAAGACAAGTGTTGTAGCTACTTGAGCTCTTGCCATTGCTCTCGATACGTTTACAGTTTGTCTTATCGTGCGTGACTGTTTGAAGCCACTTGCCGATGAAAATTACATGCTGAGACTAGAGACGCTCGTCCAATAGTTGTATACCCTCACGGTCATGTTATTTTTGTTTTTTGTTTTGTCCTCAACCTGCTTCCTGCCACTACTCATGAACTGAACCGAGGTTTAGAACAGATTTGAAAAAAAAAAATACTCACGTGTAAAGGTAGATTTTAGCTGCCTATGTATGCACAGAAAATTAATCCATCCTACCCAATGTAAAAAAATTAACTTTGCAGAAAATGATACATATTTTATTGAATTATGAACATGAACTATGTACTTACACGGTACTAGTATTGTGTACTTTATTTTGTTATAAGCTAATAAAACAGTATGCATTAAAAACAATGTAACAAAATTACACTTATAAAAAAAAAAAACAAATTACTTAAGAGTAACATTAAAAAAAAATATGATTTTTAGAAAATGAAAAAGTTTATGAAATCTAGTTATTTAGTCAAAGAAAACAAAAATTACTGTTTGGATAAAGCTGAATTACACTAAACTAAATTAGGTGCGTGATACCTGTACATGTGGATCTAAATTCTGAACAAATGATTATGAACTTTATGGTCAAGTTAAGAAGATACTTGATATATCAATGAATGGATCAAGTTCACGTCCCTTTATAACGAATTTTTTTTTCTTTTTGTTTTACCATCGTTGTAGTTATTTTATGATAAATTTAGGTCACGATAAGAATAGAATTAGAAACATTTTGTGCAATTCACAATACATTACCGTACTTTTCATAAAGTATTCATTTTCTATTTTTTGATTAAACAAAGTAATGTTTTCAGTATATAAATAAGAATTCTTTAATAGTTAAAATAAAGGGACATCCGCGTTTACTTAAAGATTCGATTAAGTAGTCTTTTTGGTCACTTTTTGGGAAAAATAGTTCATGAACGTAGAAATTAATTTGCTTATTAACTGGACATTTAAATATTAATAGGAGGTACAGGGGTTATTAGCTACCTCGAAGAATTTCATTTGTTTAATAAAGTTTCACCAACATGCCCCAGTACGCACAGTAATGAATATTTGTCAGCTCCTGCATCCATCAACAAAATCAAATTTTTCATTGAAGTTCATTGTGATGTGAAAACTTTCAGTTCATGAAATTTTTAACGTTGACCATAAAACATTATGTAAATCAAGTACCTATTAAATATTTACACTAACCAATCTTCAATACATCTACGATTAAGTGGTTTTGTTTATAATTTTGTTTTTTTTGGGCTGACAGATAATTAGAGAAACAGTATGAGGGTTCGTACGGTTAGTATCGGTTACTTTTTATTTGTTTGTACGGCAATCTCACAGTCAAGTCATAAATTTTTATACAAATTGGGACACAAATTTTTAATTCACATTTTTTAACAGTGTACATTATAATTAATGTTACAACTTTCATTTCGACATATATTACTGATGCGTACTGAAACAGCGAAGGATGGATAACAGCAGAGTGTCTGATCACGTGTTGTACGATAAAATACAATACAGCTTGTGCGTCCCATAAATTGATTTCAGTACGGTGGTTATTAACATTAACTATATACACAATACTAGCAAACTAAATGAACTTACTTTTAAAATATTATTTTCCATTTTTTTTCTAAAATGCTAATGAACTGTAATATCGAAAGCCGATCTATCAATTGTAAACAGTTCAGAACTCTGATTATTGTTTTATTGGTAATGAACTGCAATGCATTCAAATTGAGAATGCTGATCCATTTCCAACAAATATGTCTCCCAATGAGCTAATAAAAGCTCATCCATTTTCAAAAAATATGAACTAATGAAAGCTAATCCATTTTCAAAAAATGTCTTCCCTGAATAAATTGTACCAAGTTTCGGGTTGTACCTCCGGTACAGCTTAATAGTACGAAAGCACCGACGCGCCACCTAGCTAGCTAGCTAGCTAGCCACGTAGATAGCCAGGTAGCTAGCTACTCTGAAAAACTATCAATTTTACAAATACTACGATGGGTGTTGGAAATAAAAAGACCTACTCTGGGCTTGGTATATTTAAACAAGGTTAGCAACATTAAGTAGTCGTTGCACATATGCATATTTTTTTTTATAGCTTTGCGATGTCAAAATCGTGCAAAAAACGAGAGCAGCAGATCGAGACGGCTAGGAGGTATGCCAATTTGGTTGCCAATTTTATTGATAAAGTTGATGACGTAGATTTTAACCGGTATAGCCCTGGATCGCTCGTATACAAGGTACAGTAGTTCATTGATTAATTAAGAATTAATTAATTCAAGTGTCTTTCTGCCTTTCATTAATTCCTTGAATTTACGGAAAATTGAAAATATCTTGGAAACTCTAGAGAAAATGAGCAGAAGTTTCTTCAAAATAAGTGTACGATAAGATCTATGATTTAAGACAAGTTTTAGCCTAATCGTCCAATTGCTTGCCAAAAAACTTGACTTTGATAATTATTAATTTCTTGAATTTTTACGGAAAATTGAAAATATCCCGGAAACTCTTCGAGGAAAATATGACAAACTTACTCTACAATAAGATCGTTCATACAAGTCCAGCTTGAGCTATGTCACATACTTTTTTTTAAATGATGTAATCCACAAATTTTCCATTTGACTTTTTCCTTGTAGATGGCAATAGCTTAGCGCATAAAATGTAATGCTTGATACAGGGATAAAATCCGGAAAATGTGGAAGAACGAGAATGGAGTGTTTAAGACATTACTTGAGTAGCGTTTCGAAAACAGCGGTGGTACTATGAACATCATGAACTGGACTGAAGATCTTGCTGCAAACAAACCAAAAATAAGAATGCTATCACTCTTTGATGGCATTAGTTCAGGTAATGTATCTATGAAATTAAAAAAAAAGCAATCAAAATCTAGTGTATGCACAATCATTTTAGGGTATTACGATGCAGCTGGATTATTTTCATTTTATTTCAGGTCTAGTGGCATTGAAAAATCTAAACTTTGATGTTGGCTGCTACTACAGTTCAAAAAAAGATCAGAATGCGATTAAGGTAAGCTAGTTCAATCACGGAGCAGGAGTAATACAGATTGGTGACGTAAGGAATGTAACTGAGCTGTTTCTATCAGAAATCGCTCCCATTCACTTAGTGATCGGTGGGTCACCATGTAACGATCTGAGCCCTGCGAATCCGAATCGTCGAGGCCTAGATGGTAAATTTTAATTTATGATTTTCATGAACGGTACTTGAAATGTTATTAAACATTTATTATTGCTTGTTAAGATCCAAGTGGAACAGGAGTATTGTTCTACGAGTATGTAAGGGTCTTTGAAATATTGAACAAATGTAATGGTAGCAGTAATTTTTTTTGGCTATTTGAAAATGTGTCATCGATGACACTTAATACAAAACAAACAATCAGCAGGTATGTATTAAAAAGTCAAATATAAACTTAATGTACATTTACATTTAACCATGATAAACTGTCAATGTAGGACCTTGAAGCAAGATCCAGTACTTTTCATAAAGTATTCATTTTCTATTTTTTGATTAAACAAAGTAATGTTTTCAGTATATAAATAAGAATTCTTTAATAGTTAAAATAAAGGGACATCCGCGTTTACTTAAAGATTCGATTAAGTAGTCTTTTTGGTCACTTTTTGGGAAAAATAGTTCATGAACGTAGAAATTAATTTGCTTATTAACTGGACATTTAAATATTAATAGGAGGTACAGGGGTTATTAGCTACCTCGAAGAATTTCATTTGTTTAATAAAGTTTCACCAACATGCCCCAGTACGCACAGTAATGAATATTTGTCAGCTCCTGCATCCATCAACAAAATCAAATTTTTCATTGAAGTTCATTGTGATGTGAAAACTTTCAGTTCATGAAATTTTTAACGTTGACCATAAAACATTATGTAAATCAAGTACCTATTAAATATTTACACTAACCAATCTTCAATACATCTACGATTAAGTGGTTTTGTTTATAATTTTGTTTTTTTTGGGCTGACAGATAATTAGAGAAACAGTATGAGGGTTCGTACGGTTAGTATCGGTTACTTTTTATTTGTTTGTACGGCAATCTCACAGTCAAGTCATAAATTTTTATACAAATTGGGACACAAATTTTTAATTCACATTTTTTAACAGTGTACATTATAATTAATGTTACAACTTTCATTTCGACATATATTACTGATGCGTACTGAAACAGCGAAGGATGGATAACAGCAGAGTGTCTGATCACGTGTTGTACGATAAAATACAATACAGCTTGTGCGTCCCATAAATTGATTTCAGTACGGTGGTTATTAACATTAACTATATACACAATACTAGCAAACTAAATGAACTTACTTTTAAAATATTATTTTCCATTTTTTTTCTAAAATGCTAATGAACTGTAATATCGAAAGCCGATCTATCAATTGTAAACAGTTCAGAACTCTGATTATTGTTTTATTGGTAATGAACTGCAATGCATTCAAATTGAGAATGCTGATCCATTTCCAACAAATATGTCTCCCAATGAGCTAATAAAAGCTCATCCATTTTCAAAAAATATGAACTAATGAAAGCTAATCCATTTTCAAAAAATGTCTTCCCTGAATAAATTGTACCAAGTTTCGGGTTGTACCTCCGGTACAGCTTAATAGTACGAAAGCACCGACGCGCCACCTAGCTAGCTAGCTAGCTAGCCACGTAGATAGCCAGGTAGCTAGCTACTCTGAAAAACTATCAATTTTACAAATACTACGATGGGTGTTGGAAATAAAAAGACCTACTCTGGGCTTGGTATATTTAAACAAGGTTAGCAACATTAAGTAGTCGTTGCACATATGCATATTTTTTTTTATAGCTTTGCGATGTCAAAATCGTGCAAAAAACGAGAGCAGCAGATCGAGACGGCTAGGAGGTATGCCAATTTGGTTGCCAATTTTATTGATAAAGTTGATGACGTAGATTTTAACCGG